CTTGGAAACATTAAGGAATGTAGGCGGAACCATGCTGTTGTCTTGTAAAGAAGAGAGAGGGTATGGGTTTCAAGCAGTTTTACAGGACAACATTTAGAATAAAAGAGCTTCATCAATTTTTATATAGCCTCTGAGTCTATATTTATTATTCTGGGAATTGTATTGGGGGAACAGCCTGTACTTTCTGAAATACGTCTGTTTTAACTCTGAAAGCAAACTCCTTAGAGTTCAATCCCAAGAACGCATTCCTGGGAACGAGCACCACTGAACAGACCCAAGTAGGATTCTGAACCGACTTGCTTACGATTGCTCCCTTAGACTGGCACACTCAACAACAAAATACCGTATGTTTTGGACCATAAGACGCACTTTTTCTTCCAAAAAAAGTGGGAGGAAAAGTGAGTGCGTCTTATGGACCGAAGGTTCAGAATATTTTTCCCCCTGTTTTCCTCCTTTAAAAACTAGGTGCGTCTTAAGGTCAGGTGCGTCTTATGGTCCGAAAAATACGGTATTTCTTATTGTTCATCTTCTCTGCCTTGCTCTTTTTGTGTCCTTTATATGAAAAGCTTCAATGGGCTATGCTTGGAAGCAACGAGTAACTTTCTGACCCTCGGTGCTGCAAAACTAATGAAAAGATGCCATGAAGTACGCTGCTGAAAAATGCCATGAAAACATAATACTGGGAATCTTCACTGAAACTATGGACTTGCAAGGGCACTGAAGGAATTAATCCCCCTCAACACTGGTAGAACTTTCTCCAACCTCCACCCATCCAGAGGCGAATTAAGACTTGTTGAGGCCATGCACAATGGTCAGGTCTAAGAGACCCTGCCCCCAAAGCATTACCCCAAAAAAGGGTAATTGAATAATTTTTAGTAATTTGTTTGTATTTAGAGGACTCTCATAATCTGAAGCCCTAAACTCCCTACTCACTCTTTCTTTCTCTCTCTCACTCTCTCTCTCTCCCCTTCCCTCCCCCTCTCAGTATTTACACTCATAAAATCAGAGTTTACATTTTTGTAGTATTAGTTGTCTCCGTTTGTGCCCCTCTTTAGGGAGTCAAGAAGGGTTTCTCCATATGTTATTTTTTCTTTTACATAAAAAAAACCTCAGACATTTTGTCACATATGAAGGTGCGACTGTGGTTTCAGGTACAGGCACACAGACTGAAACAATCCTACAACAAGTTATTAAGGTAGGACAATATTACTATCTCATCATAGACGGTGTACAGAAGCTAGAAGATGGCAGGCTGACTAAGGCCACAGAACAATGTATCAGCAAAGGCAACCTTTAACAGAATTATTCTGGTTCACAGTTCTGGCTACTACACTACATTAGCTTTCATAGTCTTTCATTATTTAACAATCCACCTGCGCAAAAGACTACATTTTATAGCTCTCTCTATCTCTTTTGTTGGGCATGTACTATTTTTAAAAAAGAAAGCATGCAGATATTTACCTTGGCTTTGTGATGGACAGAAACACGGTGCTATGTAGAGAAGGACTACCTGAAGTATCGAACGGTCCATTAGTTATTCCTGGAATAAACAAACGGTGAAAATATTACATCTATTCTGGTTGACTCTGATGCATGGATATTGTGTTTAATGTCTTTGGCATCCCTGGGCTTATTTTCAAATGATCCTTTTCCACATGCAAACTGAAATATATGCAGCAACTCACAGGTTGGCAGTCATACGATCAATGGAAAAGAATTCCCTGTCCCATCTACTGAACATAAATTACTCCTTCAAATGCTTCAGTACCTTACAGGGGGAAAATTCATTACCACATGCTGCAAACTGGCAATACAGGCAATTAACAGTGCAATCCTAACCAGATACACCATTCAAAATCCACTGAAAGAGTGCTCAAAAGGATGTAGTTCTGTTTATAAAGCACACAGTAAAAAACTACCTTCAAAAACTATTTGGGTGAGCTGCATTAGCAGCTTCTGAATCAAATGATATTCTTTCTTTTTTAAGTTCAGTGGAAAGGTTTTCTAAAATGCATAAATATTTATTTGCTCTCATACAGGAATTGCAATTAGCAAAATCAGGTCCAAAATGGATCAATCAGGATAGAATATCCAAATTTCATTCTGGTACAAATTGCGTAAAATTACTAAACAAGTATAATTAGATGAGATTGCTGATGATGGATGGGTAGATGAGTAATGGATAGATGGACAGATGATGATGATGATGATGATGATGATGATGATGAAGATAGACAGACAGACAGATAGATCTGCATCTACTGGACTGTTAAGTACGAGACTCAACATAGCTAGTGAACAGTGAATTAGCTTTATTAACGAAGTCAGAAGAAATCAGAACGAGACAAAAACATAGAGCAACAGGCTCTCTTTTAAACAGTCCGGGCTTGGGAGGCCACACCCACATGTCAGCTAACAACCAATAACTATTTACAAATAAGGTCCAATCAGAGTGCTTCCCTCCAAGACATTGCGCAGCTCTGACTGGTTTATTTACAATCCTGTTTAGAACTCAAGCATAACATAGTTTTCAATACATAACATGGACACCAGCCAGTTTTTATTAATTGGATATTTCTGAAGACAATATGTGTTGGTGATAGAAGATGTTTACTGGTGCACTTACTCATGGTCCTGTCCAGTAGTTGAACTGCTTTGGGGTTTGGTTATAAACTATATTGATTTTCTCTTAGACTCTGCATTTGTACTCCCTGCTGCAATCCTCATCGTGGCCGGCTTTCCCAATTCATGAAAGTTGCACTCAATGCAGAAACACGTGGATTTCGAGAGCAGGACTGCCAGAAGGCCCAGAGAAAAAAATGCCCTGCCCTTTTCACAGAAGTTGAATGTGTAGCAGGGAATACTTGAAGCTTTTCGTGTGTGTGTGTGTGTGCGCGCATGCACATTAAGTGCCGCCGAGTCGCTTCCAGCTTATGACAACCCTACAAATTAATGACCTCCAGGACATCCCATTGTTAACAGCCTTGCTCAGGTCTCGCAAACTGAGGGCCTCGGCTTCCTTTATTGAGTCACTCCATCTCATGCTCAGTCTTCCCCTTCTCCTGAGAGCCAACCTGGTCTAGTGGTTAAAAGCTGCAGACTCTAATCTGGTTTGATCCCCCACTCCTCCACATGAAGCCTGCTAGGCCAGTCACATTTCTCTCAGCCCTCTCTCAGCCCCACCTGCCTCACAAAGTGACTGTTGTGGGGACGGGAAGGGAAGGTGATTGTAAGCCGCTTTGAGACTCCTTAAGGTAGAGAAAAGTGGGGCACAAGAACCAACTCTTCTTCTGGTGCATTCAAGTTGTCTTAGCATTTCATAGCATGGACCTATAACATCCCATTACGCTTGTGGACATTTTTCTTTAGGGCTTGTTAGCAACCCTAGTTGGAAACAGCAGTGGCTCTGTCTTTGGGAGACTCTTTCTGAATCAACTTGTCTGCTGAGGAACTCCTGTGCATCTCTCATGCATTTGAGAAAATTCTAAAGTGCAGGTTATGAGGATGCAAGGACAGGCTATGAAGACTGCTGGACAGACCTAGTGGGCCTCTACAGCTGCACTGCATGGATTTCAGAGTGCACCATACCATATTTATACTTCACAAATGATAAGAGAGACATCCAGGGCTTTCTTTGTAGAAAAAGTCCAGCAGGAACTCATTAGCATAATAGGCCACACCCAAGAGCAGAAACTCATTAGCATATTAGGCCACACCCCTGACAGCACAGCTCATTAGCACATTAGGCCGCACCCACATGTTACCAGAAGTGTGGTCATCCAGCCACACCCACCTTTTGCTTCTTATTCTGTTTACCTTGTTTGTTGTCAAAACCCAGGGCCTTTTTTTGTAGCAGGAACTCCTTTGCATGTTAGGCCACACACCCCTAATGTAGCCAATCCTAATGAGTTTCTGCTCTTGGGTGTGGCCTATTATGCTAACGAGTTCCTGCTGGGCATGGCCAACTCAGGAGCCAGCCGGAACTCCGTTCCTGTGCGTTCCTGCTCAAAAATAGCCCTAGAGACAATCCTTGTGGACTTACAAACACTAGTGCCTAGGCTCTCCTTTTTCCTATACAAAATTCAGAAAGCTGTCCTCTTGCTGATATATGCTACATTCATTTACTCTGCAATGGCTTCTGACGCAGGGTGTATTAAGCTGACCACAAGAGTTTCCTTTTTAAAAAAGTGTTTTGTTCAAAGCAATGCTGACTCTCACAGTGGATTGGCCTGTACTGAACTGCTATTCATACACCATCAGCAACATTTGCTATCTGGCTAGGTAATGACAGGAGGAAGGAAGAGAAACAAGCGGCATTTAAAAAAGAAAGATTTCCTCAAAAATGTTCCCAAAAGGCAAAATACGTTTTACTGGGAAAGGAGAAACGGAAATACATTTTGTCCCTGGTAAACAGGGTTACTGGAGCATCTGGAGATCAGTAGTAGGGAAGAAGAAGAAGAAGAAGAAGAAGAAGAAGAAGAAGAAGAAGAAGAAGAAGAAGAAGAAGAAGAAGAAGAAGAAGAAGAAGAAGAAGAAGAAGAAGAAGAAGAAGAAGAGGAAGAGGAAGAGGAAGAGGAAGAGGAAGAAGAAGAGGAAAAGGAGGAAGAGGAAGAAGAAGAAGAGGAAGAGGAGGAGGAGGAGGAGGAAGGAGGAGGAGGAGGTTGGATTTATACCCCACCCTTCACTACCCGAAGGAGTCTGAGAGTGGCTTACAATCTCCTTTCCCTTCCCCTCCCCACAACAGACACTCTGTGAGGTAGGTGGGGTTGAGGGAGCTCTTTCAGAACAGCTCTGACAGAACTATGGCCTGCCAAAGGTCATCCAGTAGCTGCAAGTGGAGGAGTGGGGAATCAAACCCAGTTCTCCCAGATTAGAGTTCGCGCATTTAACCACTACACCAGTCTACTACCCGACCAGGTTCTTGGGAGGAGAGGTGGGATGGAAATGTAATGGGAAGATAATAGTGATGACACCCAGTCCAATTTGGCTCTTTTGCTTACCAGGAAAGTTACCCGCAGGGTAATTTTCTCCAGAGGACTGCTGGTGGCCAGGAGCCTGTCGAGTTGAGCACTAGCAATGTTTGGCAGCATTTGAGGGGCTGCTTGGCTTGGACCTGTACAGTAGAGGTGACAGCAGGTGTAGGGTCAATATACAACCTGTGCTGTGCCAGCTACACTGGCTTCCAGTGGAATACCGAGTTGGGTTCAAGGTTCTGGTATTGACCTTTAAGGCCTTAAGCGGTCAGGGACCAATGTACCAATGTATCTATGGGAAGGTCTCCTCCAGTATGTTCCCAGGAGAGCCTTGCACTCTTCAGATGACAGCCTGTTGATCCGTGGCCCTAGGGATGTCCAGCTGTCCTCGACCAGGGTCAGGGCCTTTTCGGTCCTGGCCCCGACCTGGTGGAACTCTCTGCCAAATAACATCAGGGCCCTGTGGGATCTTATGCAATTCTGCAGGGCCAGTAAGGCAGAGGTGTTCTGTCAGGCTTTTGGTTGAGGGTAGCAAAGGTTTCCTTATTGGCTGGCACCCTTCCCCCCCACCACCACCTTTTGTTCTGAATTCCACTTTCCCCTGCCCGGAAAATTGGCCGGTAGTCCAGAATTGGGATCAAAAATATTATAGGATGCCATCTTGGATTTTTTTTATCCTGAATTTAAATTTTTATTAAGTTGTATATTGAATGTTAATGTTTTGTATATTTTACGGCATGAAGCTCCTTTGTACATCACCCAGAGCCCAGGGTAAGCTGGGATAGGGCGATTAATAAATTGAATTAATAACAATGACAACAACAATAAAGAAGAATTTATAAGCAAAATTTGTGAAACAGCAGAGATGGATAATCTAACTTCAGCTTTGAGAGGACAAAACGGAATGGCTTGTGAAAAAACGTGGTCCAAATTTTATAAGTGGACTGAAGAAAATCATATCTGATTTCCACAGGCATACAACCGAAATGGAACAATGAACTACATGCTTTATTCTATGCAAAGATCTCTATATATAAACTATAAGGTGTGGAAAAAAAAAATAACTGATTAATGTATGAGGTTAAGAATTACATATAAGAAGAATGTATATTATTCCCCATTTATATGTTCATTTGTCTTTTATAAAATAAAAAATGATATGGAAAAAACAACAACAATGGCAATAATAATTGCCCCCTTCAGTACCACTGCTAGCCAGGTGCAGGCTAAAAAACCTCTGTGGGTGTTGCTAGAACCACAGAAGAGAAGAGAGAGAGATTGGATTTATACCCCGTCCTTCACTTGGAGTCTCAGAGCGGCTTACAAACTCCTTTCCCTTCCCCTCCCCACAACAGACACCCTGTGAGGTGGGTGGGGCTGAGAGAGCTCTGACAGAAACTGCTCTTTTTCAAGGACAACCCTGACAGAGCTTGTGACTGACCCAAGGTCACATCAGCAGGTGCAAGTGGAGGAGTGGGGAATCAAACCCGGTTCTCCCAGATTAGAGTCCGCACACTTAACCACTACATCAGACTGGTTCTCTCAGAGCGGCTTACAGTCTCCTTTACCTTCCCCTCCCCACAACAGACACCCTGTGAGGTGGGTGGGGCTGAGAGAACTCTGACACAAACTGCTCTTTTTCAAGGACAACCCTGACAGAGCTTGTGACTGACCCAAGGTCACATCAGCAGGTGCAAGTGGAGGAGTGGGAAATCAAACCCGGTTCTCCCAGATTAGAGTCCGCACACTTAACCACTACACCAAACTGGTCATTCAGCTTGCTCGAGGGCCATCATGACATCCCTGTTCACCCCCAATGCTGCTGGTGGAAAGTGCGATCAAGTCACAGCCAACTTATGGCAATTGCATAGCGTTTTCAAGGCAAGACACACAGAGAGGTGGTTTTTGCCATTGCCTCCCTCTGTGTAGCAACCTTCGATTTCCTTGGTGGTCTACCATCCAAACACTAACCAAGGTCAACCCTTCTTAGGTTCGGAGATCTGACAAGATCAGGCTAACTTGGCCATAGAGTTCAGTACTCGCCTTCGAAACCGCCTGCATTATCTAAAGACTGCAGCCAGAAAGAACCATTCCCGTGTTTGTTCTCTTCTTTATTTACAGTAACCCTTTATTTGCAGCAACGTCCAACATTTCTGCTAAAGAGTAAAATTATGTTCCCTTGCATACTGTGCCACTATGCAGACAGTAAGACCGCTCTGTAAGTAAGACCTCTGAAGGGGTGTGTGACAGCGAATTGCTTGTCCTGTTTATAGA